CTTGAAATTATCAAGTAACACCCCGGAATTAATTGCAAGAGGTTGGGCACGGTCCAATTTTAACACAGCCACTTATTTCGAGACTAATCGCATGTCTGCAACCCGATCTAAAGTGCCATTTTCTTACGTAGCCCGCTAATGGATGGCCCTCATCAATTGGGGGCGGGTTTTTTTGGCTCGAGATGGGCTAGCAGCGCAGGAAGGTGCTATTTGTATCCAGGCGGACTAGAAAATAACGCCAGATGGTCGTATTTTTGCGGCGCGGACAAAAAAATCTGAATTTTTCGCTATTTCCTGAGGCAGAACTTGCCGTACTCGAATTTTATGGAACTTAATTTTTTCTCTACCTTTTGCAAAGTTACACTTTATTTTAATAAAGAAAACTCATAAAAATCGCTTGAAAAATAGCATCAACTAGATTTTTAGAAAATACGTTTATCGCCCTGATGGCCAAGACATATTTTTATGAGAGCATTTTATAGAGACAACATCTACTACTTTATAGCGACTTTATAGGGGCTTCTCCTGTTAACAATTTAAAACAGAGAACCCATTAGGAAAGCGGATTTTTCGTTTCATCAAATTCCAAAAATTCCGTTTCCGTTTTGACTTTCCATTAATGCAACATTTTTGGTCGACCGCACACGATGCGACCCCTTTTATCCCCCGCCCTTTTCATTTTTGCCGGTGGTACACACCCCCCATTGCCATTTGGGTTCTAGATAAAAGAGTTGGGAGTCCTGTGGGCCCGGGCCGGAAATTAATCAACCGCCACAACCTTTTAGGGGATCCACTGACCAAGGCCACGATTTTTACCTCGATCTGGGTGCCTGTCCTGGGTGCCATCTGCTGAGCTGCCATTTTGCCGCCGGACAGATGATAAAGCTAGCCAGCGCACTAAAGGCAGGCGCCGGTCTTCACAGAAATAAACCGTTTTTGCTTTTTAATGCGCTTACTTAGTAAAACATTAAGAATTATACCGTTATCAACTATAATAATTTTGCTGTGGTCTCCGTCTGTCTGTCTGTCTGTGTGAAGCCGAATTCAACTCGAAGGGGAAAGGAGCTAGAGCTTAGCTCTCTTCGGATTCGGATAGAGCGCCGTCAGAAACCCCCAAACTGATAAAAAAATTACGAAAAAGTTTTAGTTTAAATTATTAAAATTAACTTTGGAAAGTTTTTCCTTAGTAAAAGGGGCGGGGGACGGAGGTTGGGGTGATTTTGGACATAGTGAGCCAGGTCGCGCGCGTTTCGTGGATGAAAATTTTCACGGGGGATTTCATTTCTTTTTTTCTTTCATTCCATCCGGTCGGTCGTTATTTTCGTTTTTTAAAAGGATTTCGGCTAGGGGAGGTATCTTAAACCATCAGGAAGGTATTTAGGTAGTTTTTGAAGGGGATTTCAGCCATGGGGGGTATCTGAAGCCATCAGGAAGGTATCTAGGTAGTTTTTGAAGGGGATTTCAGCCATGGGGGGTATCTGAAGCCATCAGGAAGGTATCTAGGTAGTTTTTGAAGGGGATTTCAGCCATGGGGGGTATCTGAAGCCATCAGGAAGGTATCTAGGTAGTTTTTGAAGGGGATTTCAGCCATGGGGGGTATCTGAAGCCATCAGGAAGGTATCTAGGTAGTTTTTGAAGGGGATTTCAGCCATGGGGGTATCTGAAGCCATCAGGAAGGTATCTAGGTAGTTTTTGAAGGGATTTCAGCCATGGGGGGTATCTGAAGCCATCAGGAAGGTATCTAGGTAGTTTTTGAAGGGATTTCAGCCATGGGGGTATCTGAAGCCATCAGGAAGGTATCTAGGTAGTTTTTGAAGGGGATTTCAGCCATGGGGGGTATCTGAAGCCATCAGGAAGGTATCTAGGTAGTTTTTGAAGGGGATTTCAGCCATGGGGGGTATCTGAAGCCATCAGGAAGGTATCTAGGTAGTTTTTGAAGGGGATTTCAGCCATGGGGGTATCTGAAGCCATCAGGAAGGTATCTAGGTAGTTTTTGAAGGGGATTTCAGCCATGGGGGTATCTAAGCCATCAGGAAGGTATCTAGGTAGTTTTTGAAGGGATTTCAGCCATGGGGGTATCTGACGCCATCAGGAAGGTATCTAGGTAGTTTTTGAAGGGGATTTCAGCCATGGGGGGTATCTGACGCCATCAGGAAGGTATCTAGGTAGTTTTTGAAGGGGATTTCAGCCATGGGGGTATCTGAAGCCATCAGGAAGGTATCTTGGTAGTTTTTGAAGGGATTTCAGCCATGGGGGGTATCTAGCCATCAGGAAGGTATCTAGGTAGTTTTTGAAGGGATTTCAGCCATGGGGGTATCTGAAGCCATCAGGAAGGTATCTAGGTAGTTTTTGAAGGGGATTTCAGCCATGGGGGGTATCTGAAGCCAGCAGGAAGGTATCTAGGTAGTTTTTGAAGGGGATTTCAGCCATGGGGGGTATCTGAAGCCATCAGGAAGGTATCTAGGTAGTTTTTGAAGGGATTTCAGCCATGGGGGGGTATCTGAAGCCATCAGGAAGGTATCTAGGTAGTTTTTGAAGGGGATTTCAGCCATGGGGGGTATCTGAAGCCATCAGGAAGGTATCTAGGTAGTTTTTGAAGGGGATTTCAGCCATGGGGGGTATCTAAAGCCACCAGGGAGGTATCGAAGTAGTTTTTTAAGTGGATTGCATGAAGGGTAGCCCGAAGGCCAGATGGTTACAGTCGCGAAGCGACTGGAACCATCTGGTGATTATAATATATACCGTATTTTAACGCACCATAGGGTACTTTATCGTATCGTTATGGCTAGCTTTATCATCTGTCCGGCGGCAAAATGGCAGCTCAGCAGATGGCACCCAGGACGGGCACCCAGATCGAGGTCAAAATCGTGGCCTTGGTCGGTCCGTCCCCTTTGGGGGCAGAGAACTGGAAGTTGACGATGCCTTTTAACCCTTCTAATTCTGCCGTTCCGGGAAGCCGTTCCGGGTCCACGGTCCTGGAGGTATTTAATGGAACGTTCCGTAATGTGTCAATGGTTGGGTCTAGCATGGATAGCTGCCCTGAGAGAGGCATTCCGCGCGCCCCGGTAGCTCAATAGGTAGAGCATCGGACTCGAAAGCCGTAGGAATCGGGTTCGACCCCCGCCCGGAACACTTGTTTTGCGGATTGGACCCGGAGCTAGGCCATGGCCATGGGACCCCAGAATTCCCAACTCAATGTTTTGGCAGCAGGTCGGGAGCGTACTTTCCAAATCCTTCGCCCGCAAGACGTCCTAAAGATCCCTCGGGATGTGTCGAAACCGTCAACATTCCTTCTTACAATTTTTCAATTTGTGTTTTTTTTTGTGACGGTTCAGCTTTGGGCTATCATTGCCGTCAGAAGAACGTCAATTTCCATAAATGTTGGATGTCCTAAAAATCAAGAGACAATTAGAATCAATTACGTAATCGATTAACGTGTATTTGTTGAAGTAATAATCGCAACCAAAAAATTGGCAGTTGTCTACAACTGGCCGATTTCAATATTTTTATATTTTTGCGTGAATTTTTATTTTGAAATAATAATAGAAATAAGAACATCTATAACATTTTTATGTTTCTAATATGCAAGATTTCATAACTGTAGGATCATGCACTTACCGCACCGTGATTCCCCATTTTGAAAAGAATTTACGGAGCTCCACCATTCGTCGAATCCCACCAATCCAACCGAAAACCAAATCCCAATTCTCCTGACCAATGCCCTTTGCCAAGCTTTTTCAAAAATTCTCCGCGACCAGATTCTCGACAAAGCGGCCCCCTTTCAGAGCCCAGACCATTGCGGAAAATCCCTCATTAGCCCGGGGTTCCCACCCGCTCCATTAGCCTCCACCGGCCATATTATTCAGCATGGGAGTAGTCGGTACCGGTGGCGGGGCTTCACCATTTGCGAGTTCTACTACCCCTACTTATTCGGCAACTTTGAAAATGTCTTCAATACCAGCTGATGCCATTGATATGCACGACTTTTTCGTGCACCCGGCTTATATGGAGCGGTGGTTTCCGTATATGAAGGTGAGTCTTAGCGACGAGGGAGAGAGAGAGAGAGAGAGAGAGAGAGAGAGAGAGAGAGAGAGAGAGAGAGAGAGAGAGAGAGAGAAAGAGAGAGCGCGAGAGAGAGAGAGAGAGAGAGAGAGAGAGAGAGAGAGAAAGAGAAAGAGAGAGAAGGAGAGAGAGCCGCGTCGATGAAAATGTTTGATAGATAGAAAAAATATACAGTAAAGAAAGTTAGTTTTAATACGGAATAATTTAGCATACCAGCCAAGCCCCTTAATTTCTAGGAGATACTGTTTTTGAGCAGGAGTTATGCAGCTTTTCAGCAGTACGTGTTCCAGTTACTGCGCACTCGATTCCCAGTACTCGCTGGGAATAGAGTTGTTTTGTGTATATTAGGGTGCCAATTGGAACACTTTTCGTAACCTGATCGTACGACAGTTGAGCACGGGAAAATTATCCGGCCAAAGATTGTAGCTGGCCAAAAAGCAGATGTTGTGGAGGGCGAAGGTTTTGAACAACACGTGTGCTTTCGATTCATAATATATGTGACGGTTACTAAACCTTTACCTGAGCTTAGGGCAGTTAAAATAGTACGGCGATGGACGTACCGCTGTGTGACGCGTAGCTGTTTGCACTGGGCGAATAAGGTCGTTTCTCTCGCTTCCCAGCCCCTTTAAAGCGCTTTGGCAGAGTAACCTCGTACCACACCTGAAATAGTGGATTAGGAATAAGTAGCTAAAGCCCTGCAAAGCCTCACAAATCGTTGAAAAAGGATCTTTGAAAGACTTCGACCTCTTTCAGAAACAAAGATGCTCAATTAGTGCGCGTTTTCAATAACGACTCATTTTTCAGACCGGTGAGGCGCTTGGTCTCTGCATAATGCTCTGCTCTTTTATCCCATTCTACCATTTGATGTACGCCAGGCAGGTACGTCATTGGGAGCCTCTCGTGATCCCGTCCCTCAGATTTTCCAAGCCAACTTCACCATGCTCCTCGTGGTGCAGCCGGCCGGTGGCATCCTCTCCATCACAATACGCCTTGTGAAACACGGGTTGCTTGAGGTCGGCATTGTCACCAATCCCACCGTCTACCGGTACATGTCGCTGTCCAGTGAAGCAGGTACCAGTCTTTTTTCAGCATGACAAGGAAGCCAATTTTGAAAAGTTCCACGCCTGATCGCAAGAGTGGATATTTGAGCAACTGTACATGCTCAAATATTCCCATGCAGCCTGTGACCGGCCCATTTCTGAAAGCTTGGTGTAATAACCCTGAGACCTGGGCAATGCGTTCGTACTTACGGGTGTATCCTGTACTCATTTGGCTAGTTTTTGAGCCGAGTTCATAGTAGTTTTTTGATCCAAATAGGAATGAAAACCAAAGAGCTGATTTTTTTGCTCTTAAGGTTTCGATACCTTTAGAATACATGAAAATACATTATTAGGACGGCGTCGGGACCGCATTCGGAAGCGGTCCCGGCGCTGAAAAAGCTATGTGAGAAGCGCCACGTATCATTAGAACGAGGGATTAGAAACGTCCATTAATTATTTGCATATCCAATGGGCTGGCTGCCAAAGGCTCTATTTTAGTTTTTCGGATACTTCCGGTTCTATACTTTTTAACTAAGACCACCAAACTTGGTAAATTGTGGTCAGAATTGATTGGTGGAAGCTGGATGCTGAAATCTGCCTATTTTTTTCTATCATATTTGCCTCGTAGTATCGTCCATCTCCATCCACATGATGCTCGGATTCGCGACGGAACGTTGTATCGCTATGTCATACCTAGAAGACTACGAGGAAAAATTCCCAACACGTAAACTGGCATGGGCAAATGTTATTGGAGTCGTATGGAATATCATCATGCTTATAAAAACTCCAACCTACAGGTCTCCCTTCAAATTTTCGGCCAAGTTTTCTACTATCTCGGATATGCAAATCAGGGCATCATCTACTTCGTCGTTTATATGTCTGAAATTTCATCCGTTATGGTATGGATGATTACCGTACCAATTCTCCATTTTTCTAGTTATTTGTCTGGTTCTACTTTCGAAGCCGGAAAGCTTACTTCATGGTTTATAATAAGAAAGAGGCTACTGTCGCTGATCGGTTCGATCTTTTTGGAGCAAAAATTTGTATTTTAGGTATCAAACCGTAATGAGCTACCGTACCTCCCATCTACTACTCTGCCTAGCACCATATAAGTGCGGTTTAGCATGCGTGTTCGTTGGCTACCACCAGCTGATGACGGCTCAGGATAAATATCACATTAATTTCTACAGTTTTGGATTCTTCTATTTGTTGGAAATTCAGGTGTTGCTCTTTTGGCTGGTTAAAAACAGTTCTTTAGGTAATAGTGCAAATCTGGCTCATTATTTTTACGCAACCCGAATTGAGGGAAAGGTTTTTTATGTGGATGCGACCAAGGGTATGTTTGAGAGTGAGAGAGGGAGAGAGAGAGAGAGAGAGCGCGAGCGAGAGAATGAGTGAGATATACATGGACGGCCAATATAACTTAATCCCATCAAAATGCAGGTAGAACCGGAAGTGACAATTCGTGATGTTGAAGGAAGAAGACTCAGATACAAGGCCAACGAGGAGACCGACATCTATTTTGTGCAGTTGAAAACTATGTGGAATTGATGTTACTTTTGGCATTATTGTTTGTTTAGAAATTGCTCAATAATAAGCGTTATTATTAGGGTTTTTCAGTACTTATTGGTTCAGATAAGAATGTAAATACAATGAAAAATATAGAATGAAAATAATGTGGAATCATAATGATCAACGCTTAAAATTTAGGTATAATCAGTCCTAGAACCATCCCGGCATCTTCTGCCACCGCACTTGCTTGAAAATCGCTTCTTAAAGGATACCTAATCACCTGTCTTTGTTTTCATGAGCTTTTCTCGGATTCATCAGCGTTCTAGAGTCCCGGTGGAATTTCAAACACTCAATCGAAGAAAACTTTTCGAAAATACTGCTATCGTCGCCACCACCACGAGTCCCGGCAAAATCATTATCATACCAAATTATCATTATCATTATAATACTCTATCATACCAAAGAGGCCGGCTTTCTATTGACACCTCGCGGAATTTAACTCTGTTGCTGGCGGTCAGACTGACTTGCTAAACACACGTTAACCATTTTTCATGGGAATGGATTTACCTCATAAACGTTTCTGGTAAACATTCCCAGGGTCTAGGGACTATCGGCTAATCTCTGGGCAACATCTAAGCACACACAGTCTCGTACCGGTAATTTTCCTTGCTTCAGCACCGGGTAATTATGATACGTAGACAGCCTAGCCAGCTGTAATCTTCTGAATAGAGAAAGCGTCTTTTTTGCCCTCCGCATATGTCCAGCTTGTATGTTCGTTCCGTGTTTTGGTGTTTTACCTGCTATGCCATAATACCTTCTGGCTGCGTTTGACAACCTTTCTTAACAGTTATTCTTTAAAAACCTAGAAAAATTCTTAACCATCGTCATGACGGTGCAATTTGGAGCATTAGTTCATCCGGCGTACCTCGAGGACTATTTCCCATATTTTATGGTACGTTAATTATTCCCTACTACTTTAAACTTCATCCTAGGTAGTCGAAATGACCCTTGTTATGTTACTAGCCGCCACATTTATTGTATTCCGGAAGTTACTGGCTTCCAAGCGGGTACGCATTTTGTAAAGCGTCCTTATCTGCTAATCAAGGTTTTTCATCAAAATCTCAGCCTCCTACTGCTTAGCGAACCACTCTTCGTGTCTATTTCCGGGTCGTTACGGATGATGATGCATGCTTTAAGCATATTTGGGTATCTGGAAAACCCACAACGGTTTCAGTTATTTTCCTTTGTCACAGAATACAGTAAGTTGATTTCAAAGCCAGAAATTGACGTTTCGTTCAGTTGGTGCAATAGCTCTGAATCTCATCTTTGCAATCGGATTTGAGCGATATTTAGCGAGTCGGAATCTGACCGATTATGAAGAGAAATACGAGAATAATCGATTGGCCAGCATATTTATTGCGGGGACGGTTTGTACCAATTCAATGGGTTAACTGTCACAAAGCCTTAAGGCGGTTCTCGTTTTCTTCAATCTTGGCATGATGTATCTTCAATTGGTGCCCTTAACATTAACTTTTATCATAGTGTATCTTACCCAGGGAGTTGCTATGTTGGTAAGTAAGTTCAAACGCTAAAGCGTGAAGCCCTTACAAGGGAACCACCCGAGGTCGAGGTGGTGTTTCGTTATGGGCCCCAGCCCATTTTGTGCAGAATTTTTCGCTGATTCCGAATCCGCTGCTCATTTTTGCCAAATAGATCGTTTTAAAAAGTTATAGCGCTTCAAAGTTCCATTTTTTCCCAAATTTGTCAACTTCAAAGCCATTTATTTTGCGTTTCCCTGCTGATTCATCAAAAACGAATATTGCCATCGTATTCAGAAAATTTTTCTCTATCGAATGAGCTATTTAACTCAAAATTGTTGGAAATCGAAAAAATCGACGATACTTGGTATGGACTTCGTTTTTTGTATGGGAAATGGTGAAAAACAGGCTATTTCACACTCCCATAAGTGATCATCGATAGGCAGTAGCGCAGTAATTAAATATACCATTCGAATCAGAAAAAAATTCTCTACAAGATAGGCTATTTAAAATGGATTGGCATATTAAAACAAAAAGTTGGGCATCGTGACAGATGACCGCCCGCGGGCTCAAATATGATCTTAAAATTGCCGTAACTTTTAAATCGGGCTATTTGGCAAAAATTGAAAGCGGGTTCGGAATCAGCAAAAAAATTCTGCACAAAATGGGCTGGGTCCCATAACGAAACGCCACCTCGACCTTAGGTGGTTCCCTTGTTAGTTCTTCTGCTGGCTCTACAAAACTTGTCGGCGGCAATTCTACATCGTCTATGAAATGAAAGCGACTACAGTAGCCGCCAGGTATCTAAGCCCACATCATATTAATGCTCGTTATCTAGATACAAAACCCAAACAAACTACAAAGCTTCCCGGCTACTCTTGGCGCTAGCACCATTTAAATTCTGTTTCTCCATACTTATCGTGCTGGAGTATCACTTCTTGATAACTCGCTCGGAATACACCCAGATTGTATACGTCTTTGCCTTGTTTTACACGATACAATTTCAGGTATTTCCTGAAATTGTGGTATTCAACTTTCATTTTTTTAGACGTTCTGCCAAATGTGGTTTATCATAGTCTACGAATTGCGGTTCCGGAGTCTAATCTGTGGATTGTTTGTGCGAGGCGGTTCTAAGAAGGTGTGGTACATGGGAAGCTCCGAACCTTTTTAGTCACGGTGGGATGCGCACCTAAAAAGTGTCCATGGCACAAAACTACAATATGAACCGGGTCAACAGCAAGATGCTTACTTTGCCCAGCTGCAATCGATGTGGAAATAAATATCTGAGACCATTTTGATTGTCAATTCACAGGGCCATGGGGACTGTGGGAGAGAATTTCCGGATTCTGGAATCTGGAAGGATCTGGAAACATATTAATAACTTGCTCAGTCACAGAGAGGGTGATACCGTGAGGATGAGGAAGAAGGAAGAGAGAGTGTGAGTTAGGGAGAGAAAGATAGAGAGCGAGATAACGAGAGAGTGAGAGTGAGGGGGAGAAAGCGGGAGAGAAGGAGAACGGGAGACAGAAACGATACAAAGATTTAGTTTTCTGCAGACCAGCAGCCCTAATTGAAGTGCGCACGGTTGCGCCCTAACCCATCATCGCCGATGGCGCAGCGGTTAACGCATCTGTCTACGAAGTTTCTTTTTGCCTTTGGTTGCAGGTTCGGTTCTTTTATGCGTGTTTCCTTTTGCGTTTTAAAACTTGATGATATTTCCACACCTTTTAGGCATTTCTGGGTCATGGTGGAGGCATTAGCAACGTTTCGATGTTGGGCTAGGGCAAGGAATCAGGACATTTCTCTGGTCAAAATCTTCTCTGGGACTGTGGCGGCCAATTTAAATTATTCAGACGCTCCGAAAGTCACAAAAGTGTTTTTAAAAAACAAAAAGCAAAAGTAATTGCCAATAACGGAATCGAACTAGCAACCCGAAGCAAAAAAAGTTTGGAAGACCGACGCTCTAGCCACTGCGCCACGTCTAGCGGTGGGAAGAAGGGACCGGAGGGCCTTGCCCCTTGAGGCGGGCCGGGGCAGCAACGTGCCGACGTGGACGCATAAATTCTCTTTTTAGGTTTTTAATTTTATAAAATCAAAAAATGCACTGCAAAAATGGACGCCGAGAGGTTGTTCAGAATTCAATTCTCTATCGAATGAGCTAGGTCTCGAAGGGATTTGCCGATGACGCTCAAAAGGTACTCCTTGTAAGATCTAACGTGGAGTTTAACAAACAAATTTGAATTATCTTGCGCAATGCCGCTACAGCTGTAAATTCTCAAGCCTTCGGCCGCCCGACATAACCTAAATGGCATGGGAAACCCCCGACAAAATACTCATGGTCACGCGACGGTTTTCTCACATTGTCCGAGTGTCGACACTTGACCTAGACGAATGAAAATACGCAGTCGGTCCAATATTGATGTTTCCTAGACAAAAAAATGTCAGGAGCCTATGTCAAAAATCGTCGAACGCCTACAATTAGTCCTTGATTGTTTGCGAGCCTCGTCTGGGCGCCCTGCGGAAAAGCAAATTTTCTAGTCCGGCCCGCGTTCATTCACTGCCAAAAAATCTTGCGTTAGTGTAGTACGGTTTGTAGTGCACATTTGCCAAACGATTTTCTTCATTGCTATTTAAACCAAGATAATTCAAGCTTTTCAAGCAAATTCTCTCTTTCTATAAGTTCAAAGTTAAATATGACATCAAAATCGTAGCCAAAAATTCAATCAACCAATTTGAAGCCACAATCCATCATACTAGCTTTTCCAGCATGTTTTGCGCTGATTTCAGCCGCTACTAATCTCCGGTTCTCTGTTACATTGACTCCATTCACCCCGCGTTTCGTTTTCAGTTTTTTTTCAGGTATCTCCAGATTTTGGCCAAATGGTCATTCGTTTTGGTATCCTGGCGCATCCGGCGTATTTGGAGGAGTATTTTCCATATTTTATGGTGGGCGAAAAAATACGAATAAGCTGAGATAAACGATATTTTTTAGATTTTTGAAACATTTCTAGTTATCTTCCTAATATTCTCTTATCTACTATTCAGAAGGCAATTGACTTCAAAACGGGTATGTTACCCATATATTTTATATAAAATAACATATTATCCCGGTTTTTATCATGGCATTTATAGAACGTTTTAGCACTTCCATCCAAATCTCAACCTCCTCCTCCTCAGCCAACCCCTATTTGTCTCAATTTCCGGGTTACTCCGCATAGTCAAACATGCCCTCCACATCTCTGGAAATTTAGAAGACCCGCTAGCCTTTCAAATGCTATCTTTTGCCACGGATTACAGTTGGTTCCTCAAATCAAATTGTACAGCTTTAATTTTAGTCGGCGCCCTATCGCTCAATTTGACCTTTGCCATCGGATTTGAGCGTTATTTGGCCAGTCAAAGTCTTGAAACGTATGAAGATAAATATGAAACCAATACCTTAGCTAAAATATTGATTGTTGGAACGGTTTGCAGCCGCTAAAAATGTACACAAAACAATATTTACAGTCCGTGCTTGTTTTTCTTAATATCGGCAGTATGTACCTACACAAAACGCCGTTGTCATTGACTTTTGGGATAGCATATCTTACGCAGGGACTGGCAATGTTTGTAAGTATACCATAAAAATGTATTTAAAATTTCGATCGCAACTTCCATCATGTTAATATTTTTTAGTTCTTTTTCTGGCTCTACCGTATTTGCCGAAAACAATTTTACATTGTCTACGGAATGGAAGCACCTAGCGTAGAGGAGAGGTGCTTTTTTAAGTATATATTTTTAGCTTAAATAGTTGCATTAAAGCGTAGATTTCAGTCATTATTTGTATTTTTAGATACAAAACCCAGACAAACTACAAAGCCTCAAGACTGCTGTTGGGTATGGCCCCATTCAAATGCATCTTTTCAACCCTGATCTTGATGGAATACCAAATTCTAATCGGTCGCTCTGAATATACGCAAATATTTTATGTCTTTTTGATGTTTTACACGGTGCAAACCCAGGTAAATTTTTTGTTATTTCGATTTTCACGTGACTTTTCATTCAAAAAATCCCAAAAATAGAATTATGATGTTTTAACCCAGCTTTTCTGTAATAATTTCGATTTTCCAGACCCTCATCCAAATCTGGTTCATCATGCTCTACGATATGCAGCTGAGAAACAGGGTACTCGCATCGCTTCGACCAGACGGAGACTCGAACAAGGCAACCCGCGTCAACCTTCTGAACAGCTTCTTTTAGTCCCGTTGGCCCACTCACCTTAAAAACGTACACGGCGCCCGGCTACAATACGCACCGGATCAGGAACAAGATGTGTACTTTAGCCAGCTAAGCATACTGTGGAAATAAATATGGCGAAAACAGAAAACAAGAAAATTCCAGATCGCAATTGTTGGCGCGCTCCATTCGAGAAAGTATTGATTCGCGATATTAATCAGCACATCAGAGATCAGATATGCTTTTTTCATGAAGATAAGTACCGGAAGAAGGAACAGAAGGAGCTGCATGGCAGATAAAGGACACCGAGTTTTCTTGAATTTTTGAAATCCCTTGGGCAGAGAGTTCATGGTCATGCTCAGAATAACACAACACATATAACGGCGACGTTAAACCCCCCATTGACAGCCAGATGGCGGAAAATTGAATAGAAATCCCCGTCTTTCTCGCGTAGAGCAGGTGGCATCCCATCCTTATGGCAAATTTTAGTCATAAAATTAGCACAGAGCATGGGGCCCTCGTGCATCCGGCGTATCTCGAGCACTCCTTTCCGACGATGATGGTCAGTGGGTTTTTCTTGGTAATAAAATTTTATTTTAAGTGTATGGAGTCGGTTATATTTTTGTCGTTCACCGGTACGCTAGTGATTTTTCGGCATGTTTTATGTACGAAACGGGTGAGTATTTCATGTAAAACCTTTCGAGCTACGATAGCTACGTTTAGCGCCTAAACACGCGCGTAAATAATTTTTCCTGTGTACGTGTAGAACGAACTGAAGTGTCCTTTGGCGCATTTGGTAGCTGTTGATTCCCAAGCGAGATCTCTGACCTGTTTTTGAACAAATCAAGGCTTTTAATAATTCTGTTGGTTTTGTTTAACTGAAGTTGTTTATGACTTTTTCAAACCAAATAAAGTCTACTTAGCCATCCTAAAATTGTTCTTGCGGTTTCAAAAATAGCTTCCAAACCCGTGTTCTCAGATATTTCATCCCAATCTAACGTTACTCCTCCTTTCACAACCAATGTTTATCACGATAGCCGTTATCATCCGTGTCATGCGGCACATCCTACAGTATAACGGACTTTTTGAATATCTTATTTTATACCAAGCGACCTCTTTCGTGACGGAGTCAGGCAAGTGCAGGCGGAGGGGGGGCTCACTGTCTAAAAAAAGATCTATGAATGGGATTATGGAAAAACCACGTGCAAAAGCTCTAAAAATAAAATTTAGCCGCGGCAGTATCGGTGCATATGACATTTGATATCGCCATTGAGCGGTATTTGGCTATGAAACACTTAGATACCTATGAAGAGAGATATCAAGACAATCGACTTGCATGGATTATTATCGTCATCTGGGTAATTGCGTTGGTCATAATAAAAATCTATTAACGTTTTAGGCCACGATAGTCTATGGAAAAATGGGAATGATGTACCTGCATGTAGTCCCAGTCATGTTTGTGCTTTGCGTGGGCTACGGTTCCCAGGCTTTTGCAATTTCGGTTAGCTGGCGCTTGCAACGCGATTAATTTCAGACGTCTGTAGTTTTATCTTTGACTTTACGCGGCGTGTCGTAAGAAGTATTATTACGTATCGGCGATCAAGGAATCGACGGTGCAGCAGAGGTAGCAAGAATGTTTCCAGGCAATCTAGTGGAGATTTTTGGAGATACTTTCTGAAATTCCATTTTAGATACAGCACCCAAGCCAACTACAAAGCTTCTAAGCTTCTCCTCCATTTGGCCCCATTACAAATGCGTCGGTTCGATAGCGGCCATCGTCTGCTACGACGTCTTCATCAGCCATTCTCGCTATGTCCAAACTTTTTGGACTCACATAATTTTCCACCTTGTTGAGGGCCAAATGACCATTCAAATGTGGTTGATCATCATGCTGGAGCCGCATGTGAGGCGTCAATTTTTCCGCCTATTCCTGAGGCATCACGTAAGCCCCTCTGCGCATTAATGATGTTTGAAGCATTCCCGAGTTGAACCGCTGACAAACGTCGAGGGAAGAGCGCTTCACCACGACCCGCAACGAGCAAAGGACATATATTTTAAGGAACTCCAAAAAATGTGGGAATAAAATGTTTTCGACTTTGATTCCCTTCCTCCTCTGCTTGGAGCATTGACCAAAAAATTGTATTTTTGCAAAGGAAACAGAGCCTTAACTTATACGGCTGAGAAACTCTCATCCATTTTAAAGACAAACAGATTGTTGACCACCTCGCGACTGCGGAGACTAAACTTTGGCTGGAATGGCTCATTTTTGCTCTAGGGAAGTTCTAAACCACAGCTCAAAGGGTTATACCATAATTACCTCGTTGTATCAATTGCGCGTAAGATTTCGGTCGTTCCAAGTACCCTAAAATTGTTGCCTGAGGGAACGTTTTGTTTTGAGGACCAGATACCGCATTGGGAGCGGAATTCAGTGCCAATCCGATCTAATGAGGACAACAATCTAATTCAGAGCACAACAATCATAAGATTTTTGTACCGTAAAAAGTGTGGAATCCACGGTAATTGACAAGGTCTGCTTGCTTGAGCAGGATTTTGATTTTCTCCCGAGACCACTTCTCCGCGATTTTGTATCATCCAGTCGTGGGGCAGCATTTTATCGGATTTTTATTATCGCTCAGTTGCTGGGCTCTCTATACAAACTCAAGTATTAATAAAAGTACAAATCTATTTACGTAATGGAAGCGGTGCTCTCCAAAATTTTTGATACCACGAAAAGTTCAACAACGGCGGGTCAGCGTAATCCCCACGATTCATGAAAATCAAAGTATCTCAATGAAATTATCCCGACCCCATATTAAATTGAAATTCCCTGGGGTTGGAGGGAAAGATCGAGTCATTCATTTCTGCCTCCATTTTCGCCAGTACTTTCTGGGTTTCAAAGTGGTGCTCCTTGGGAGACTCTCTTCTCAGGAGGAAGTTTCTTGATTTTAGATTCTAAATCTCGCCACATCTCGCCTCTAATGGCACCCGAAATTGAATATGGATGGCTGGTACACCCGGCGTATCTAGAGGAGTACTTTACTTACCTCATGGTAGTTTTGGATAATTCAGCCATTTTAAAAAAGCTGATTTAGATGATCGAACTTCTGGTTGTCTTAATATTCTTGATAACTCTTGTGCCTTTTTGTTATTTGCTGACCTCGAAAAGGGTGGGGAATTGAGAAATACAACTTTCCCACGCCTAAACGATCGTTGCTAGCTTGCCTTCAAGTCGTATGCTGTTTTAGGTCTTCCACCCAAACCTTACAATTCTTCTACTCTCCCAACCCACCGCAGTCACAATTGGTGCCGCCCTCAGAATGACCAAACATTTCTTACAAGTTATTGGTCTCCTTACGAACCCGTCCCACTTTCAGTTCTTTTCGTATCTCACGGAAACAAGTCAGTTTTGGTTTGCATTTTATGTTTTTTTTTTAAATTTATCATTTTCACGACTTTTGTTCAAGTATCCGCTATCTCACTTCATATGACTTTCGGAATCGCTGTTGAGCGCTATATTGCAACCAAAAATCTCGAAACTTATGAAGAGACTCATCTGGATAACCAGCTGGGCCGAAGGATTATTTTTATTGCCGTAAGTTAACGATATAAATGGGTGTGAAAACAAGGTTCAGGTTTGTATAAATTTTGCCGAATTGACAATTCTCTATTTGCACGTGGTACCCATCAGCTTTACCTTATTTAATGGATACCTTGCCCAAGCTATTGCTATTTCAGTAAATAAGTCTCTAGTGCATAAAAGGGTGATTTAGTTTTTCCTATGGCTATACTTCGGATGCCGTAGGAAGTACTACCTCGTACAAAATATCAAACATTCAACCGTACACGAACGGTGGGCATAAATTTACTAAGAACTATGCCTAGTTTTAGGCTTTGACTTGTGCAAAGGGCTTAGCCTTACTAGTAGTTAGGCTTACTAGTAGCTCAACCACGTTAAGCATTTTCAGATGGAACACTTTAACAAACTACAAAGCTTCCAAGCTTCTCCTCGGCTTGGCGCCTTTTAAATGCTTAGTATCAATCTCCCTAATTATGGTCTATCAATTCTTCATCTTCCACTCCTTATACGTCCAAACATTCTGGACATTCATATTTTTCTACATGGTTGAAGGCCAGATAATTGTCCAAATGTGGCTGATCATGATTTTCGAGCCGCAAATCCGCCAGCAATTTGTTAAAAAATTCCTTCCGGGCCGTCAGGTACATAAAATACTTTTTTAAAGTTCTCCACAAAAATAATTTAATGAATGTATCCAATCAAATTAATATCGCCTAGTCATCATTTAGAACCGGAAGGTATCTGTACTAAGAAATGTGGATGGTACAAAGCTACAGTACGACCTCGAGCAGCAAAATGACATTTATTTTCAACAGTTGCGGGATATGTGGACGAAATAAATAATTTTAGTGGTTATTAAGACACTGGAAACGAACAGTTATTAGATTCCAAAGCACTAAGCTTGATTTGTGGTAAACTGGGGCCAGGTGCATTGTACGAAAAAAACCTGGAGGAAATTTAACACTAAACCATCCCCATCTAATTTTTACAAAAAATTGGTTTTTGTGTTGGGATCAGATAAGGTAGCGGGCTTGTCTTTTAAAAACCTTTCTGTTATTTCGGCAGGTGGAAAATGGTGGCTAGAAGGTTGAGATGAAAAAAATTATGTTGCTGTGTTTTGACATCGCCTGAGTTGGACTTGTTTGCCGGAGGTATCATTCCCCTTATCCCCTGCTATTAAGAAAACAACGACTGTTTTTGATTAAACAGGTTTTAATGAAGATTTTATCGAAGTCTATTTGATACAAACATTTAATCAAAAGCCTAGCATTAAAAACAAAAGCAGGCTTTGTTTAGGTAAACAGCTTTCCAAAAATATGCCTGAAGGTTGAGCTCGGTTTTTCTAATCCTCAGCATGATCACCGTACCTCGCCTGATCAGGGTTTGTTTGGGAAAGCACGACAGGTGTTTTATTTGCCAGGAGCCAGAAGTGTCAGGAGCCGAGAGCTTCATTGGTAAATCCGGCAAGTTTTTTTTAGTTGAAGCAACACTTCCTAGAGATTAGGAGGCATTTCTGGTATATTTTCGAACGCGAAATATTCTAAGATCCTACTATATATAAAAAAATAGTGTTTGTATGTGTGTGACACTTTGCATGCAGCTTCCGTTAGGGTTTCCGGAGGATATCTCGATAGAGAATGAATTTTGAACTATGCATGATACGTCATTAGGTGCGTAATGGCCCCGAGATGACTGCACACATATCAGATTTTGCAAATTATGCCGTTTTCGACATTAAATCTTGGTTTTTGTTAAAAAATCTACGACCTTCTTTGTTAGGAAAAAATTAGCATGTGCCGGAAGTTCCGGTCGCCTATATAATGGGGTAGAGAGCGCGATTTTCGTTTTTGTCACAGGAAGTCCAAGAATTATGCAAAGTCAGGTATATCATGAGATCAGACAGGGTCTATGATCTTTTCAACCCTGGTCTATGTTCTAAGGTTCTAATAGCAGTGCTTAACAAATTCAAAATTACCAGTTAGCAGGCCATTTATGTTCGATTTCACCTATCAATTAGTCGCCCAAAAAATACCATTTACACCCACCGCCCTGAATTATTTGACATCATGATTTTGTTCTTTTAAAACCTGACTTCCGGCTTGACGTTATTTACCCATGAACTTGCATTTATAGAATTTTTCCTTTTGGAACTAACAATGACCGGTATAATCCAAGGAGCGCTCGTCCATCCAGCGTATTTCGAGGAATATTTTCTATACCTAATGGTAGGGAATCTAGAGGATTTTTGCATGTGTCGACTTTTCAGATAGGCGAGTTATTATCAGTTATATTATTAACCATTTCTTTCCTAATATTTCGCTATTTGTTGAAAAGAAAAAAGGTAGGGGGAGAGGACATTTATAGAATATCTTTGCGAGTTGTTTCATCCGAATTTGCGCTTTATTTTACTATGGCAATCCAAAATAATACTGGCGAGCTCGGCCTGCCGGCTATTTCGTCATGGGTGGCAGCTTTACTGCGCTATTGACGTGAAAACGTATCGATTTATATCATGGCTGAGTGATTATCGTAAGTGAGCGTACTTGAGCGTACTATCAGGAGATAAATAAATATGTAATTTATGCCCTTTATTTCAGTCTCCGGACTCTCATTAGACATGAACTTCGCGATCGCCGTCGAAAGATTTGTAGCTATGAAATGCCTAGACACCTACTACGATAAGCAAACCACCCCGAAATTTTCCATCTGCATCATCATTTTTCAGGTAGGTACTATCTTCTTCATTGTTAACTCTTCAGGTATTACTAAGCTCACTTGCAGGCACTATCATTCTTCATCCTAAGCGGCTCACTTTATATAAATCAATTGGAGCCGAATCTAGTCTTTATCTGCGCTTATATATGTCAATTATTGGCGGTTTTGGTGGGTTTTAACTATTGTATGATAAAGTAGGTTAATTTATTTTATTTTATTAGATTAAAAACCCACTTTAGTTCTTTATCTGGCTATTTGTAGCATGCAGAAGTTTATATCGTAGGGTATTTTCGGATCGTACAGCAAGTTAGCTCTCATTCTTGTCATCGCGGTTTATCAATTTTGCGTTAACTATTCACAATATCATAATGCTTTTTGGATATACATAATTTATTACATTATTCAGGGAGAGGTAAGGCTGATTTCCATTTTTCTTTTATTGTTTGTTACCCTCTAGATGACGCTCCAAACATGGCTGATCATCTTCTTCGAGCCCGAGATCAGACAGCACTTTTACCGATTGGTTAACCCAAAGGTATCAAAGCATTATGAAAATTTCCATTTGTAGATAGATATCCCAAACAGCACGTGTACTCAACGCCGAAGGAAGTCATCTACAATTTGGCCATCGACAAGAGTCAGACATCCATTTTCGACGCTTACAAGATCAATGGAAATAGAGCTAAATACGATAATCTGCGCTTGGTTCCCATGACACAAACACATCGTCAGCAAGCTCAAAAAGACTGGCAAACACCATCACAAAATACACCTGTAATCAAATCTTTATTTGGGCAATTGCAAGAACTGTCATTTGTTAATTTTCGCCGACGAACCTACCCAAATCTCAGTGGGATTGCACGTCAGGAACAGGATACTTGTGTTTTCCACGGCATTTCCGGCGTTTTTTACGCCGCGTTACTCCTTACGGTCTCACTAGAGCGCTCATTCCTGGCGCGCTCGTTAGCCCCTCATATTTTCCGCATCTTATGGTTCGTTTTTCAAAGGCAAATTCGCTTTAACTAATCGGACTTTGGAAATAAACTCATAATAAATCCACCTTTCGTGATTAAGAAAATATATACTTCAACATTACTACAAGGGTTCCCGTCTGTTTCTGCGTCCAGCGCCTTACAATTTGGCCTACGACGCCGTTGTCATTGCAGCGTATCAATTTTTAGTGAATTTTTCACAATATCATAATACTTTCTGGACCTACATTGTTTTTATCTGTTCCAGCAACAGGTAGATCGCTACCATTTTTATGTATTGTATGACACTAGGTGACGCAACAAATCTGGTTGCTAATTTACCACGAAAAGCATCAGACAGCGTTCTTTTCCGGCGGTTTAATGCCAAGGTATTACGCAGCAGGCAGCGGCATCGGTTTAAAAACTCAAAGTTACAAAAAAATTGTGTATTGCATCCTTTTAGGTCTACCCAACCTCAAAAGCCACCAGCTCTGAAGGCCACCCGTTTCAATTCGCCTACCAACAAAGGTTCAATGTCCATTTTGAGCAATCGGATAAACTTTGGCAATAGAAAATTCCTCATCCTCTCCCCTCGGTTGTTCCGAGTATTAATTTCAGTTAATTGTAGTCCACAGGCACCAACTGTACTGTTGAAGGCGATCTCAAATCCCATGAGATTCACCTAACTGGTACGTGATTCGGCCGTGGACAATATAAGTTCAGGCAAACAGACGGTCAAGGACAGATTTCTGAGATTCCAAACCTCAAAACATATTGGTAACCACATACCCTGTACCCCTGTCATTAAAGGTATTGTGAGGCCAGAGATGCTCGTCCAAGGCGCTCTCGTCCATCCATCATACCTTCAGGAATATTTTGGATATTTAATGGTATGTCAATGGTACGCTTCATGAACTTGCTCAGATCGCCGAGCTGGTCTCATTTTTCATCTTATTAAGCTCGTTCCTGCCATTTCAGTATTTGTTGAGAAGTCAAAAGGTGAGAAAAGGGTAGAGTGAGCGCGTGAGAGAGAGACAGAGAGAGAGAGAACGAGAAAGGGAGCGAGAGCGGGAGAGAGAGCGGGAGAGACAATGAGAGAGACATAGAGAGCGCGAGAGAGAGAGGGGAGAGAGAGAGAGAGAGAGAGAGAGCGAGAGAGAGAGAGAGAAGGAAAGAATGAGTGAAAGTCGGAATGACACGTAGATATAATTTTCAAGATTTTTCATCCAAACCTACGGTGCTTTTTACTCTGGCAATCAAAATTCATACTCTTCGGCTCGACGTGTCGACTAATACGTCATGGATGGCAAACGTCAGGACATATCGATCCAAAGATCTATCGATTTTTGTCGTGGATCAGTGAATACTGTAAATTTTACGGGAAAGGCATTCAAGCATTAGTATCATACATTAATGTCTGATAAATTCCGACGGGAATTTTTCTAGTATCTGGCGTCTCTTTGGATATGAATTTCGCCACAGCCTTCGAAAGGTTTTACGCTATGAAGCATCTCGATACCTATTACGATCAGCACTCTACCGCAAAAATGGCGAACAACGTTATTCTGATCTTGGTATCCAAAAAAAATCAAAATTAAACAGATTTAGGTACCCTGTCACCTTGCTTTCAGCTCAGCCTTTTATATGAACCTGATTGATCCTAATTTAATATTTTCCTGCTTTTACGTCTGCCAATTTTTTGCGATTATGGTGTGCAATGTATCGTTTCGCTTCCGAATCTTTAGTTTTTCATCTGGCTATTTATAACTTGCCGAAAGTTATATCGAAAGGTATATTCAGATCGTTATAATACTATCGAGGCCAGGTAAGCTATTACCTAGAGTTGAATAAGCCGGCTTTAAAGATTCAAAACCCAAATAAACTACAAAGCCTCTCGTCTCTTCCTCCACTTGGCCCCATTCAACTGTTTCTTCGGAATTGCACTAATCGCTATTTATCAATTTTTTGTCAATTTCTCTCAATATCATAATACTTTTTGGACGTTTATAGTATTTTATATCCTACAACAACAGGTGTTCTTACAGCTACGGATCTCAATTAATTCATTTGCGATCTCATCTATTCCTTTAGATAATTGTTCAGACCTGGCTGATAATATTTTGCCAACCCGAAATTCGGCAGCGCTTTTTTCAGATAATGCTTAGAAAGGTAAGCGTATAAGAATTAGTATAATTCTATCTCTAGCTTAGTATAATTCTATCTTACTTGAGTTTTATAGGGCTGCAAATCCAACCAGATCCTTAGCGCCGATGGAGGCGCGTTGCAATTCGAAAATCGGCAGCAATCTGATATCTATTTCCGACAATTGGATAGCCTCTGGAAATAAATGTTTTGCAAAGTTATATATGCGCAATGCTATTTAAAAATTTCATGACTTCTGGAGGTGCATGCAGCATGGCCTTTAAGAAGTTCCGGTCAAATTGCAGGTGAAACGGATTGGTAAGATTTTGCAAATATTGGACTTTCGCAAACCTGCTAGTTCCACCCAAAATTTCTGAATCTGTGAACCGTAATTTTTTTAAAAGTGCAAATTTTTGGCCCAACTCATAGCTGAATTCATTTGCTCAATGATCTGCTTTCGAAAACCGCGGGTTTTTAAATGCTTTCCAGCCTGAACAAGCCACCTCAATTTTCTTCGTGATATTCTTCCTATAAATGGCATGTTCATAAACAGCAATTTTTAGGAAACCCGAAACTGCTTTTCATATCCTTCAAAACTCTTTTTACACTAGTTTTTAAGGAGTTTGCTCCCAGAGCCGATTGTCACACATCGTAATTTTCGTAGGTTCTAGCCTCACCCTAAATCAATATAAATAATCGTCCCACCACGATTTTCGGTTCTACTCTTTGTGTATTTCGAGACGTCGTGTCTATTAGTGCAAATAAAAAGCACCTTTTAAGTAGAGATTCCGGTTTTTAGTGACCGTCTGACGGCGCAAAATAATTTCGCGGAACCCGGCATTTGACCGGGATGGAGAAGCACCTGCCGCTCCAGATGTAAATCCGGTTTTGTTTTTTTGTTAAGCGGCTGTCGCAAAGGATTCCAGGGCTATTGCTATTCCGAACCGTCCGATTTTTGAAGTGTTTTCCAGGATCCGCTTTAACACCTATTTAACGAACAGTTTTCTTTTTTGATTTGTGGTTTGTCGTAGTTCCGAACCATCTTTTCCGGTTATTCTGATGAATGTAATGTACCATCTTGCTGCTGTGTACCGTGTACCTTGTGAAAACTACGTTTTTAGGGACAGACATATCGATCGAAAATACCTTTCTCAGTTCCTCAAGGGAATGGTGATATCCAGAAAAGATGATGACGGCCACTAACAAGCCCGACACACCGCTTTTTGACGTCCAAGGGGTAGAATAAAGGGAATTCAAAAAATCTAAATGCCACCCTAGGTTGTTTTCGGGGACCTAATTCACCCGGCACTCTACGAAGAATATTTTGGATACTGTATGGTATGCTAAAATCTACTTAACTTTGGAAGTTTTATTTAGCTACTCGAAGTCTCGACGTTCATCTTCTTCCTTGTATCGTTTTTACCATTTTGGCATGTTTTGAGCCTGAAAAAGGTGAGGGGTCTAAAAATTACACGTTGTATCTTTAGGTATTTCCGCCGAATCTACATTGCATTCTTATGTGCCAATTTAACTTGTTAATTATCGGATCGATGATACGATTTATAAGACATTTATGGCAAATTAGTGGCCATCCGCTGGACCGCCAGGCTTTTCAATTGTTATCGCTAGGCAGTGAATATGGCAAGTCTCAGTCTCTTAAATGATAAAACTATGAAAAAATGCTAAAAATGGAAATTACTGACATTTTTCAGTGGTTGGTGTTGCTATGAATGTGCCGTTTGCAATCGCTATTGAAAGATTTGTGGCCACGAAAAATTTGAATTACTACGAGGAGCAACATATGAACGCGAAATTGGCATGGAGGACGATTATTGCCTTGGTAGGCTTTGGACTCTTCGCGGTTTAAATTTGTTTAACTTTAGTCTATCATCTTCCTCGGCGCCATGCTGTTTCTCTACCGAAATATCGTGCCCCCAGTGGTCGTCTACGTCAACTCGTACTGCTTCCAATTTATGGCAATTTGCGTAAGGGTTGGAAAAGATTACTTGGACTTTGAAAGCGAGCGTTAGTAAAATGGAGCATGAGAATTTTCAGTCATGCACAAAAAGTATGGGAAACTCATTTCCGGAACGGAAAACGGATGTTGATCTTTTTGGGATACATTCAATGGTCCCCTTTTGGCGTTGGCAAATAAGGGGGAAGGCAAGATCGCAATGAAAACTCTACACTGGAAGTGTTGCTTTAAGACTACAATTGGCGGACAGATCCAATGCGCAAAGTTCTAGGCCTTAATGAATACTCGCGATACGCTAACGTACTATTAATGCGCGTAAACGACAAGCATTCTACCCATACCAAACTACACCCCCTGCATCGCTTTTAACATTTTGATAGTTTTTCATATGGCTCTACATCACTTGCCGCACAAAATATCAAGCAGTGTACGAGACACGCTACGCGACCGTTGACGCGAGGTACCATTTCTTTCCTGGATTTCGACGTTTTTTAAGGTATAAAACTCAAGTCAACTACAAAACCTCACGATTATTCTTGATCTTGGCGCCCTATAAATGCCTAGCATCCATCGGGATCATTGCTATCTACCAGATACTAGTAACCCCTTCACGATATGGGCAAACGTTCTACACCTATATCATGTTTTACTATTTTCATTTACAGGTTGATTTGGTTTATTTATAAATAACGCTAAGTTTTCTCTAGATTGCCGGTCAAATATGGCTGATCATCTTTCTGGAAGCCGATATGCGCAGCGCTTTCAAAGCCCTATTCAACTCTAAAGTTCAAGTATCCAACAACCTGCGCGACGCCGTCGGCAACAAGATGCAATTTGAGAACCTGGAAGAGACGAACATCTACTTTGACCAATTGAGGAGCATGTGGAATTAATAAATGCCTTGGAAGGAATGGCTGCAGCCATGTGATTAGCGGCTTTTCGAGCGGGGATTCGATCTTCAGCCTCGGTTTTTAGAAATTTCTCAAAAATTCGCTCCCATCTCAAACAATGGGTTGTTTTGAGGGATTGAGGGAGCCGGCGGGGTTGTTTACTTTGATTTTCGGGTTCAGAATTTTCAAAAAACATGGTTGGCGCTGATGAGAAAACCTTTTATTTTTGTGCCTCAGATATGTTTTGTGTTTACTTTGCTGATTTTCCTCATACGCAATGTAAAGCAGCGCGCATCATGTCGGAAAAATCGTAGGTTTGCATTTTTGGCCCCGTTAATTCTTTAAATGTGACTTTGACTCTGTTGATTTTCCTCATGCATTACCCAAAGAAAGGAGGGCGCGTGGCATGCCACGAAAATCGTAGTTTTGTCTTTTTCTCCTTGTTAATCTTTAAATGTGACCTAACTAGATAAATAATTACCTTAATTATTGCATAAAGTAAGTTATATGTCGTTTCTGCTTAATAATGACTCTACAGGGTGTCCCAAAAAAACCCCCCTCTAGAGGCCGTCAATCGGATCGGATCGGAATGATTTTTATACCAATCGAAAGCTCTCGGCAAGGCGAGAAAACAAGCGGGTTTCGTTTTCTAAGATTTAATCTGATTCTATCGATATTTCAGGTTTTCCTAAAAAGCCGGGAATTTTTCATCAGGAATTTCGCAATTAGCATGCAGATCTCGCATAAATCAGCAGTTTTCATGGTTTTTGGACATAAAATTAGCAAATAAAAAGGCTTAATTAAGAAATTCAACCCTCCTTGTTTTCTCGCCTTTTCGAGAGCTTTCGATAGATACCTAAATCGTAAAAATCGGAATCGACTGCGGACCGCTAGGTAGGGGGGGTTTTTTTTTGGGACACCCTGTATAAATGGATTTATATGCAGTCTTCCGGTGTGGTTTATAGCCATCCTGATAAAACAGGGAGATGGTTTGCACAAAATACGGCGCACCCATTTCACTGTCAAAACGAAACCCTTGGGATCAAGAAGAAAATTTTATATGGAGCGCTTTGCGCCTCAAAGGATAATTATCACGAAATCCTGTGCATATTTGACTGCATGAAACTAGGTCTTTGCAGATTTTCGATAAATAAATATAAAATTCTTCGCGCTAATTATCTGCTTTTTCCGCAGCCTCGACACGCAACCGAAACAAAATGAACCGTGAGAGACGAAAGCTTCGAATTAGGGGAGCCTTGTCGGTTACTTTGCGATAAGCGCCTAATTACACCCGTTAGGGCAATTATCCGCGCGAACAGAACGACATATTCCGCAGAAGCCATTGTCATTTATGGTATTGACGGGTGGCCTATTCCTATTAGGTTTTTTTCATTTTATAACCCGGTTTTCGTGGTTAATTAACGAGCGCGTGAGCTAAGAAAACGAAATAGGATTCATTGATATCTTGAAAAACAGGTTATTGATCTATGAACCCGGCAGAACGATGGGTCGTTCCGTCGGCTAGCGATCGCGAATGAATCGGCTGATTTAGGCTAGTCAAAATTTTGATTGGCCAATTTTGGGATCCCTGAGGCCTGAACATTCTCAGAAATTCTCTAAATCCTTTCGAACTTCTCTTCAGAAAAATCCCTGACGCAGATGCTGATTTAACCGTAGCGTAACTAGTCAACCGTGATTAGACAGAGTTTGCCCTTTCCCATCGGCCCTCAAGTTTTTTTTATTTTTTACGAAATTTGTCTATGTTTGGAATTCAGATGATAGCATTCGGGGCACTTGTCCACCCTGCGTATCTTGAGGATTATTTCCATTATTTTATGGTAAGCCTCGAGTGGAAAAAAGCATATTAAAATTATCCCTTGAGGCATTAGAACTTGCGGCTTTCTTCACGACGTTATTCACTTACATCCCATTTTATCACTTACTCACGAGAAAGACGGTAAGAAGCTGTGATGCACGATTCATACCTTCAAAATTTCAGCGCTTTCACCCGAACCTCACCTTACTTCTGTTGTTTCAACCGGCCACAGTACTGGTGTCTGCGGTCTTCCGATTTTTAAGGCATGGCCTTCAACTGGCCGATCACATCGATAACGATACCTTCCAGATTCTATCCTTCCTAGCGGAATACTGTAGGTTTGATAACGAAATTAATTCAATTTTGCTTAGTTTCCGGAATCTCCCTGAATATGACCTTTGCCTTCGCCATCGAACGCTGCGTAGCCATGCGAAATTTAAGCTGTTACGAGGATGTTTATACAAATAATGTATTGGCGAGGAAAATTATAGCCGCTGCGGTAGGTAGTGTTTTAATACGTTTATAGCTGGCGATTTAGATGATATTGTTCTTCGGAACGCTTTCAACCCTCTACACTCAGGTTATTCCAGCAGCTTATGCGTACTTTAGTGCCTATATTATTCAAGTTCTATCGACTATGGTAAGCTTTAGACTATATTAAATTGTTTAACATTGTTTTCAGTTCTTTTTCTGGTTGCACTTTGAGTGCCGTGCTCAATACTTGGCGGTATATGAAACGAAGTATTCGACGATTGAAGCGAGGTGGAAAATTTAATTTTAAATTTTTGTTTTTAGCATTCGCTCAAAAAATTGGGCGTATGGAGCTTGATACAAGCAATTAAACCGTAACTTCGCACCCGAATTGTAGCCTGTAGTTTACATTTCACAAGACTTTTGTAAAACACAAAATTTGTGCGTTCATGTGTATAGCTCAGGCTTTTCTTGCAGAGGCTTAAATCAAAAGATCAAGCCTTTTTTTTGATCGCATCCAAAAATGGCCTTTCCAGGTACAAAACACAAACCAACTTCAAGGCGTCACGTCTTCTCCTCTATATCGCGCCCTACAAATGCTTCGTCGGGACGGCTGTCATTGTGTTATACCAATATTTTGTCAACTACTCCCAGTATCGACAGACTTTTCATAGTTATATGCTATATACTTTCTTCCATTTACAGGTTTGTTAAAAACTTCAGAAATTTAATAGGTAGTTTTGCAGTTAACCCTTCAAATTTGGATCGTTATTCTAACTGACATCGACTTGAGAGGTCATCTGATGGCAATCGTCAACCCAAAAATAGCGCCGGATCGGACACTGAGGAGTGCAAATGGGACAAAATTGAACATTGTAAATACAGAGCATGGGGACATATATTTTGGACAATTGTCGTCAATGTGGAATAAATAAAAGTTAAAAGACTAAAAATGATAAAATCGATACCCTCCAATCAAGAGGTAGAAAAGCTACAAAAAAAGCATTTTCTGCCAGCCGGCGCCTTTCACCTCCGGATACTTCAAAATTCCTAAATCCAGCTGATGAAGGTGCCTAGCACGGCTCATTTTGGGAATGCTTCAAGGGCAGGAGATGAACCGAATATGTACCCACACGATCTTTGTCTGGCAATCTTCTATTTTCTTTAATGAGAAATTGCGGTCGGGTCGGTGCATCATAGGGCGTTTCAGAAAAAATCTCTTTTCATTTCTTCTCGATTCCCCCATCAGCCACGCTTTGGCACCAAAGTTTCCTCAAAAACATGATTGAAGTCCCGTGGGAGTTCCGGAATTTTGTTAATTCCACTACCATACATCCAATGCCCCGAAATTTTATCTTTCATTTTCCCCATTGACGCGGCACCGGAAATAATTAGCGCATACCCCGCGTGCTATTTTCCGCAAAATACGCGGTTTTCGGAAATTTTGAAAAGAGGTGCCCATCCGTGAATACGTCCTGGGTGAACGTCCTGGGTGTCTGACTGTAACCGTTTTTTGTTGACCGTGGGATTTCGATACGTGAGATAGCACATTTTGTGCAGAATTTTTCGCTGATTCCGAATCCGTTTTCAAAAGTTGCGGAACCCCTCTAGATAAAAAGTTACAGCCGGTTTTCTACCCCAAATGACCGAAAATTACAACCTTTAAATCCTTATAAAAAACTCGTGGAACATTTTGTGGGATAAAATACAGCACTCCTAGGGGTAAAAAAACCTGCTCTTTCGAATGGGCTACCTCACGAACCCGTAACTCAAAATTCATGAAAAAAAGTTTTGGTGGACCAATGCCCCGGATGGCCAATTTTTGAAATTTTGTGAATTTTGAGCTACGGGTTCATGAGGTAGCCCATTCGAAAGAGCACGTTGTTTACCCTTAGGAGTGCTGTATTTTATCCCACAAAATGTTCCACGAGTTTTTTTATAAGGATTTAAAGGTTGTAATTTTCGGTCATTTGGGGTAGAAAACCGGCTGTAACTTTTATCTAGAAGGGGTTCCGCAACTTTTGAAAACGGATTCGGAATCAGCGAAAAATCTCACGTATCGAAATCCCACGGTCAACAAAAAACGGTTACAGTGAGGGAACGGGATAATTGGAACGGGTTCGGAAGCTGTGTGTGAGAAGGGCCCGATCCTCTCTTCCCCACCTTTTTCGGTGCGTCTGGCGGGTTGTGGTACATCCCAGTTTTCTTGGGCTGTTCTCAAGTTTTTCTACCTCGATTTTCACGATTTCTATGCTCACTAATTTGCCAGAAATGGGTGGCTATGGTGCGCTCGTCCACCCGGCATATATGGAAGAGTACTTCACGTATTTAATGGTAAGGCCATACCTTTAACGTATGGTTTTTGTTTAGATAATAGAATTAACCTTTGCGCTGATAGTCCTGGGATCGTTTATACCATTTTATACATTATTAACGAGGAAGAGGGTAATCAAAAAAAAAAGTTATTTTCGATATGATATCGATTTTTAGCGATTTCACCCTAATTTGACTATTATGCTGCTATTTCAACCGTCATCGGTGTTGGTAGCAGCTATCCTACGGATGATTCGGCATATTCTACAAAAATCTGGGGTTCTAACCGACCCATTTCAGTTTAAATGCTTGTCATTTGCTTCGGATTTTAGTAAGTTTTAGCATGAAGTTACTATAATCACCAATATCCGCTTTAGAAGCTATAAATTCTGTATAATTTTAGAGGAATTTTGTTTTTGTTCGAATTTTAATTACAACGGCCGTCTGGAGCCTAAATCAACGTGTATAAAAAGTGCAAAAAATCGCATTCTGGCTAGACTTTGCCCACATCACTTCGACAAGCGATTAACAAAATTTTACATGAATTATAGTGGCTGGTACGTCAGGCTACATGACGTTCTCCATCGCCCTCGAGCGCTATGTAGCCATGAAAAATTTGGAAACGTACGAGGAGCTATATCCAAGCGATAAACTTGGGATAGTGTTAATTATAGTCATGGTAACGTGGTCAAAACTATTTTAACTTCAATCAATCAAGTTCTTCATCCATTTCATCGAAGCCGTGGCCCTGTATGCTCATTGGATCCCGGGTTTTTGGCTGTACAATGCCATGTATTTCCCGCAATTTTTAGCGGCTTGGGCAAGGATTTATTGGGTTGGAAATAATTATTTTTCAGTTTTATTTTTGGCTATATCGGGCTTGCCGACAACGATATCAGCAGGTTTATCATAAAAAGTACTCAACGATAGAGTCAAGGTAAGTATTGAACGACTAATTTAGGTATGCGCTTCATTGTCTAATATCTATGATTTGATCACTTATCTGTGCTTAAAAACACACTTTAATATACTTTAATTAAGCATATTTAAGTATTAAAGCTTAAAATGTAGTAAAGTATACTTTAATAGTATACCTTTTTGCAGATATCACACTCAAACAAACTTCAAGACCTCCCGTCTATTACTTCGCATTGCCCCCTACAAGTGCTTTGTTGCCGTATCGGTACTCGTGCTCTATCAATTCTTCGTCGACAACTCGATATACTCCCAAACGTTTTATACCTATGTGATGTTTTTAATCTACCACGTTGAGGTATCATCTTATTAATTTCCTCCCAAGGTCAATATTTTTAGCACGTCATCCTCATCTGGATCTATATTTTTGGGGACCCAGAGCTGAAAGTGCAGTTCTATTCGATGCTAAATTTTGGCGTAGGTTTAATACGGTAAGGTACTAAATACTTGATACTTCAGGTCCCAACCAACGAATCACTACGGAGCGCAAACGGGCAACGGCTGGCTTTTGACAACAATCAGGAAACAGAGATTTACTTTACCCAGCTGAAAAATTCGTGGTGAAGCTATGGAATAAACATTAGAATTTCACGCATATCAAAAATTCCCTCAAAAATTGATGAGGTGTGCGTTGAGGTCTGTAGAAGTTATTCCTACATTCAGGGAAATGCGTTAATTCCGTAGTTTTTTGTGGTTTGTTGCACAGGAATTTTGGTTTCACGTGCTAGGTAAAGGGAACAACTTTCTATAGGCTTGGGAAGAAGGGCGGCTTGTAAACTCTGCCATACCCCCACGGGGTATACCCCCCATGGGGGTACAAAAGGGGTACGAGGGGGGGACAGCGGGGGACGGGGTGGGGGTACAAAGGGGGTACCCCACCCCCTACCCTCCCCCACCCCAGCAACCCACCAGATTTTTTCCAGTTACCTCCCACACATACCACATATCCGTGGCTCGCAAAAAATTCAGGAAGAAATGACGAAGTCCGCCGGAATTTCACGAAGGCAGTTAATAAAATACGAAACTTGAAGTAAACATTTTTAAATTTTTGTGATTTTTCCACTTAAAACATGTCTGAATTTACTAAAGACATTATTGAAACCTTACTATAACGTTACCAGGGGTTGCTGGGTTTATTTCAAAAAGATTGGTCCGCCGATAAACTCAACTTAAAAAAATGGTTAGTTTAAATTTGGTATTTATTAACTGCCTGCTACAATTCCAGCTGACTTCGTCATTTTTGTATTTTTGCGATCCACCGACAGTGGTATAGTGGGAGGTCGCTAGAGAAAAATTGCTGGCTGCTGGGTACCCCATTTGTACCCCCCACCCCTTGTACCCCACCCGTACCCCCTTTGTACCCCACTTACCCCTTTGTACCCCCAGGGGTATACCCCCTTGGGGTAGGGCAGAGATAGCGGCTTGAGAAATTCCAAGGTGTGGTTCGGAATTCCATGGAAACTTAATCTTAGGTGCTGCTGCTCAAAAATCAGGGCTGAAGTAGGAATGCTATTTTTGATCTGCCACCATTTTTCCTAATGACGATTTTCGGCGTCTTGCCGGTGTCCGTCTAGTCAAGAAAACGAATTTTACCGCTCTTACTTCCGTTTTGAAACAAGATTCACCTGATTTGAAGTCTTTACTGTTTTTCATACAATCATTATTGTCATTTCTTGCTGTTGTCGCAATACCAATTTACCTTATTAACGCTTGCGCTTGAGCAACTCGCTCAAGCTCACATCGTCACGCTCGCAACCCGTTATTTTCGAGGAATCGTGAGAACGCGTCGCGCCGGGAACCAGGCCCGAGAGCCAATGGAATTGTGGCCCCATCACATTACGCGGCCATTATAACTCGTTCAATAAGGCCGCTACGACCGGGCCCCGCATTTTTTCCGGCAACATTTCCTATTCTATCAGCCTTTTCGTTCCACTTTCTAAAATGGCTGCCCTTTTGTATGGAGCACTGGTGCACCCGGCTTACATGGAAAAATGGTTTCCATTTTTGATGGTTTGGCTTACGACTACCCCCGAAATATGTATTTAGGTTCTTGAATTGTTCTTCGATTTTGTAGTGCTATTTTCATTCGTTATATTCTGTTCGTTGTTGACGAAGAAAAGAGTAAGTTCTCGATAAACAAAATTTATATCGAAAGCGACAAATTTTGGCAATTTGTATTCAGAGAAAAATGTCAAGAGCATCTTGGCCATAAAAATCGACGCTTAAATTGTATCTTTGCAGCGATTCCATCCGAATCTGACCTTACTTCTTCTCTATCAACCTGGTGCTGCCCTGGTCGCTTCTGCATTCAGAATGTCACGTCACATCTTGCAAATTTCCGGTCACTTAAAAGAACCCATTCACTTCCAAGCCCTATCATTTTTCAGTGAATTTAGTAAGTTTTGTCTACGTCAATTGTACGATTCGTGGATGTTTTTAGTTGGCGGAACAGCTGGGTATATGCCGCTTGCAATAGCTTTTGAGCGATACATCGCTATGAAACATTTGGAAACCTATGACGATCGCTACTCTAGTAATACTATGGCAAAAATATTGATAATACTTGCGGTTTGTTTGTAATCGGTTAATTTATTCTACTTCATTCAGATCCTCGAGCATGGTACAATAGCCGTCGTTTTCTACTCCCAACTTATCGCTCCGTGGATGATTTACGTGGCTATGTATTTGCCACAGTCGCTGGCGGCTGCGGTAATTTCAGAAAAATGTTGTTTACTCTTTTATTTAGTTTTATTGTTGGTTATATTGGGTGTGTCGGCGACAGTATCGAATGGTATATGAGAAGAAATATTCTACGGTTAATTTGCGGTAGTTTTGCTTTCAAAAAAAATCGCGAACCACCAAGTTTCCAAACCTCCGCCTGCTGTTGGCTTGCAAAAATTGGTATTTTCGGCGCTTTAAGCCACTTTTCCTGGTGCTACGCATCCTGCAAAAATTCTATTAGCTCCCGAAAATTGCTCTACCAAATAAGAGGAAACGATATTTCAGGTACAACACCCAAACAAACTACAAAACGTCGCGAGTATTACTCCAAATCGCCCCATATAAATGCTTTGCCTCAACCTCCGTGTTGCTAATGTATCAATTCCTGGTTGATAATTCGCTCTATGTGCAAACGTTCTACACCTACATTATGTTTATTATTTTTGCGGTTGAGGTATGGGATTCATGACTTGATTAAGGGATCTAATTTCCAGAATACGGTGTTGATATGGGTCTATATTTTCGAGGATTTTGAACTGAAGACGCGATTTTATGCGTTGCTCAATCTGAATGTAAAGTTTTTTGGAAAGAAATGGGGCAATAGGGTTTAGAGCTCAACCTCACAAACATTGAGAAGTGCCGATGGGAATCGACTGAACTTCGCTGGCGATGAGGAGGCTGAAATATATTTTAAACAGTTTAAGAATTTGTGGTGATAAAGGCCTTGATTCGACGATAATATCAAAGGAACCACTATAGAAAACTCTCGCTTTCAAACCTTAAGTAGTGGTAAATCAACAGAATCTCGAATTACAAAATCTCGAATGACAAAATCTCGAATGATTAGAATCTCGAATGATCAGAATCTCGAATGAACAGAATCTCGAATGATTAGAATCTCGAACGATCAGAATCTCGAATTTACAAAATCTCGAATGACAGAATCTCGAATGACAAAATCTCGAATGGTCAAAATCTCGAATGAACAAATCTCGAATGCCAGGATACCCACTGCTATCCTAATCTAGTTTCGTCTAGTTCGATCCAGCATAGATTTTTTGTCTTAGAGAGAAGCTAGTAGGCTGTGAGTATGCCTTGCCGAGGGATGGTCCTTTTTGAGCATCATCCATTACAAATGATAATGAAGAACATTAGCGTTAAGTCGAAAAATTTGTTCTTTCGACGCAAAGAGCTCAAATTCGTTAAGTCTTTAACTTTTAGGTAGTGTTGCGACCGCTATTGATTACCAAAGCCTCCATAGAAAAAATTTGGTTTCAATTACTAGGCCGTTAGTGGAAATTTTCATCCAAAGTGTGTTCTGCTGGATCGAAGTTTTGTTCATTCGAGATTTTGCCCATTCGAGATTTTGTCATTCGAGATCCTGTCATTCGAGATTTTGTAAATTCGAGATTCTGATCGTTCGAGATTCTAATCATTCGAGATTCTGTTCATTCGAGATTCTGATCATTCGAGATTCTAATCATTCGAGATTTTGGCATTCGAGATTCTGATTGGCAAGCGAAATTAGGCCTGGGGCCGAAACAGCTTACTAGGGAAGTGCAAATAAAAAACCCAGCAAACCGCTTAGCAAAAATATGGGTCTGACAGAGTCGGCGACGGGGATTCCGAAACTGCAATCAGAATTTGCTAAACGCTTAATACAAAATAGTTATGAGCATTTTAAAAGGCCTTCCGCGGCTCACCCGACCTGTCCCCAATATGGCTTGGTACAGTTTTTTTTCGGCCCTGTTTTTTTGACGTCATCTGAAAGAGCAGGGTCGAATTAGTAGGGTGGCACTATTTTGAGATGTTAAAAAGTTTATTTTCCTAGTTAAATTTGGCTCTAAAGTGGCAAACTTCAAAAAATTATCTCGGAAACTACCGGACCGAATCGGCTCAAATTTTGTGACTAAGCCTAATTTTGGATGGGAATCATTTTTCTAATACATTGCGACGCACGAAAATGGCCGGAACATAGGTATATTGCGTACTAAAAACAGTTTTTTGCAGTTTTCGGCTTGATGGGTGTTCGGCCGCATCATGAGACTTGCATAGAAAGATGCGCCATCCTTTTTCTGCATCGATTGATGTATCTTTTATCAGGCGGCCAGACACCCATTTGCTGGAATATTCCATTTAGTACGCTCAAAACGCACCAAAAATGTACCCAAAAAATGCATAACAAAAATTTTTTGGATTTTGAAGCATGAAAACGCATCTGTAAGACGAGCTGAAGCTATTGCAAAAAAGAGCAAAAAGAAATTCAGCTTTCTGGAGGGGGCTGGGATTGAACTGGCGGCAGCTCTGGATTGGTACGCCGACGCTCTACTCACTGCGCCACAGGGCTCCCAGGCGGAGGGTCCGGGTTCGATTCCTGCCGGATTTCAGACCCCTTTTAAAAATGGTATTTCTTTTTGCTCTTTTTTGCAATAGCTTCAGCTCGTCTTACAGATGCGTTTTCATGCTTCAAAATCCAAAAAATTTTTGTTATGCATTTTTTGGGTACATTTTTGGTGCGTTTTGAGCGTACTAAATGGAATATTCCAGCAAATGGGTGTCTGGCCGCCTGATAAAAGATGCATCAATCGATGCAGAAGAGGATGGCGCATTTTTCTATGCAAGTCTCATGATGCGGCCGAACACCCATCAAGCCGAAAACTGCAAAAAACTGTTTTTAGTACGCAATATACCTATGTTCCGGCCATTTTCGTGCGTCGCAATGTATTAGAAAAATGATCCCCAACTCAAATTAGGCTTAGTCACAAAATTTGAGCCGATTCGGTTAGGTAGTTTCCGAGATAATTTTTTGAGGTTTGCAACTTTAGAGCCAAATTTAACTAGGAAAATAAACTTTTTAACATCTCAAAATAGTGCCACCCTACTAATTCGACCCTGCTCTTTCAGATGACGTCAAAAAACAGGGTCGAAAAAAACTGTACCAAGCCTTGTTCGGGTGACCCGCGGACGGCCTTTTAAGTTTTGCACTACATTTTCCGCCCTCCCTTATGAGCCCCTCCCAAAGATGGGTGTCCGCCTGTCGAGTGGTGTAGTGGCTAAGCATGCCTCTGGTGCGGAGGGTCTCTGGTTCGACTCCCCGGACATGCTAAACTTTTTGCTTTTTGGTCAAAGTCAACAACTTTAGACTTTTTCAAAGTTTCGAAGTCCGAAATTTAGATTTTTTAAAATTTTCTTTATTATTGACTGCGTCTAGGCCTGCCTTACGAAAAAATATAAGTGAATTTTTTTAGTGCCCTATCCGCAAGAGTACTGACACTCCCGCCACCAATTTGCAATCAGTTTCATAAATTTAAAAATTAAGAGAACGACCTTTTCGACTTCGAAACTTTGAAAAAATCTAAAGTTGTTGACTTTGACCAAAAAGCAAAAAGTTTTGCATGTCCGGGGAGTTGAACCAGAGACCCTCCGCACCAGAGGCATGCTAGTTAGCCACTACACCACTCGACAGGCGGACACCCATCTTTGGGAGGGGCTCATAAGGGAGGGCGGAGAATGTAGTGCAAAACTTAAAATGCTCATAACTATTTTGTATTAAGCGTTTAGCAAATTCTGATTGCAGTTTCGGAATCCCCGTCGTCGACTCTATCAGACCCATATTTTTGCTAAGCGGTTTGCTGGGTTTTTTATTTGCACTTCCCTAGTTAGACAACCTTCCAGATTTTCACAGCCTTGGGAACATTGCTGATTGCAAGGTTTAACCGGTTGTTCTGTAGTAGCACTATTTTGGGTGGAATGGCATTCGACAGAACCCGTTTCTAAAAAAACCTGGAACTATTGATGGCTTTTTTGGTTCCAATCGATTCTGTAACTATTAGCTTTGCGCCTTGGGGGCCCAAAAATTTTGGCGACCTCCCCCCCCCCGTCGCCACTTTTTAAAAAACCGAAAATCGCGTCAATAATAGCGAGGAATAACAGGCAAAAAAAATCGCAAAAGGCGTTCGCTACACTCAAATTCGTGTGAAAACAAGCCAGAAAACGCGCTGCAGGCGAAAATTTTCTATGAATAATTGATTCACCAATGAAAAACCAGCGCCGCAGGCAAAAAATTTTGAAAAAATAAGCCGCATATACGTAAAAACTGTTTGAAAACAGTAATAAACAGCGCCGCAGGCAGAAAAATTTTTGTAACTAAAAATCATAAGGGTCCCCTTATGAATTTTTCGAACCTCGACCGATTTCGGGGCCCAGGGCCCCTGGGCCCCCTCCTACGGGCCTGGTTGTGTCCACTGTTGTGGATGTCCGCAGGGACCTGATGCCCTATTATGACAAAATATCAATATAGGAAGTCCTCCTCGTTTCCGTCTAGTTCCTGGAGCCGAGACTTCAAGGACTTCTTGAAGTTCTTCGCAAGATATGACCGTTTATGGCAATCTTGTGCATCCAGCCTATTTACAAGATTTACTGTTGTTCAACGCAACTACCTGGACTTACTACCAAAATGGTTGCTCTTCGGAAATTTTTACATACCTCAGTTTTTGGCTACCGCGGTTAGTGTGACATTAACAGACTTCTTACACACTTTAGTTCTTCGTTTGGCTCCATATCACATGTCGTCGCAAATATATGGCAGTATAACAAAAGCGATACGCTACTGTGGACTCACGGTATTTCAAATTAACGATTAACGCAATTAGACCCAAATTTTTGATTAAATTGATTTTTATCGAATACCGTGCACGGTTAACAGATTGGGAAAACGACATCTGGCTCGGAATTTTTTTCTATCGAACTAGCGAGGTCTCGCCCAAAAACTCCCGATTTCACCTAAAAGGACTCCTTCAGCTTCAAAAGCCAAATTAACTTCACGGCGTCGCGACTATTTCTTCGGCTGGCCCCTTTCAAGCTGGCCGTAGCCCTAATGAATATATGGACATACCAGTTTTTCATTGATTACTCGCTATATGTGCAAAAGTTCTTTACTTACGTCCTATTCTTTATGATATCATTACAGGTATGCGTCAACTTGTGTGTTAAATTGTCTTACTACTGTTAGATCACCATTCAAATGTGGTTGTTCATAGTTTGCGATCACGAGCTAAGGAGACGATTCCGAGGGCTCTGGGATAGGGAGGTAAAGGTTGGCGAGGTTTTGGTGAAATTTCTTTTATTCAGAGCACGAGGGTCCACGATCTGCGCAACGCACACGGCGAAAAATTGCATTTTGATATACAAAGGAAGAATCGGAGATCTATTTTCGTCAATTGTTGCATATGTGGTAATAAATAATGAGATTCCGCTCTCTATGTATAATGGCAAGACCAACATGCGAGCAACCAAATAGCGCGATGCTAATTTTATCGTTTTGGCCCACCAGGCGTTGGAGTAACCCACCAGGTAATAGAACTTGGCTGCAAGCACATCATCGTCCCTAGAAAGCGTCATACCAGCCTCTAATTGATCGCCAGAAAATAGAAGTTCCAGCGAAAACCTGATTCTTCCGCAGTATTCCCGTGAGAAACGGCACCCCCTGCGAGAACTTTTCCTCGGCTTCGACTTAATTTCGTATGGCTACCTACCGTTGAGGATGTTCCCTGCTGGCCATGTTGCTACCTTTTCGCTCTTTTTCAATTTTTTACTTGAGGATTTTGGAGCTACAGTCTCGAAAAAATGATTTCCCGGGTGCAGGCGCCATTCTCCTTTGAGTCTGCTTTAAAAGCCGAAATTGTGAACTGTCACCTGCGTCTCTCGAGATCTG